AGTGAATGAGAGTGAGTGAGAGAGTGAGTGAGTGAGAGTGAGTGAATGAGTGAGTCAGTGAATGAGAGTGAGTGAGTGAGAGTGAGTAAGTCAGTGAGTCAGTGAGAGTAAGTGAGTGAGAAAGTGAGTCAGTGAGTGAGAGTGAGAGAGTGAGTGAATGAGTCAGTGAGAGAGTGAGTCAGTGAATGAGAGTGAGCATGAGAGTGAGTGAATGAGAGTGAGTGAGTGAGTGAGAGAATGAGTGAGTGAGTAAATGAGAGAGTGAGTGAGTGAGTCAGTGAGTGTGGTAGAATTCTTCAATTTCTTCATCACTAGTTTTTGTGGTTGGTGCATAAAGTTGAATAATATTTGTACTGATTGGATTTCTTTGAAGGCAGATAGATACAAGGGGATGCCCCCCACAAATGGATTTTCCCCTGAAAGCTATGTATTTATTATTATTTTTTTTTTTTAGAAAACAACTTTATCATCTTCAAAGAACTCTCCATCACACTTAATACATTTGTCAAATCTGTGATCCCATTTTTGGAAACATTTTTCAAATGCATCTGTTTGAATGGCTGGCAGCATCTCCCTTGTTTTTCGTTTCACCTCTTCTACATCTAACCACTGCCTTTCAATTCCCTCTTCATTTGTGGAAACAAAAAGAAGTCTCCCGGAGTGAGGTCAGGTGAGTTAGGTGCATGGGACATGAGAAGCATGCTGTTTTTTGCCCCAAACTGGCGCAACTGAGATGGCTGCATGAGCAGGTGACTGACTGTCCAGGTGGCAAAACCAGTCCCCGATCTGCCACAATCAGGCCTTTTTTGTTGTTATTGCACATTGTTATGCAAATCTTTCAGAACCTCTAAATAGGAAGCTGATTAACACTCTGACCTGGTGGAATAAACTCCAAATGCACTACCAGTTGACATTTTCATCCATTCAGGAAGTTGATGGACATCCAGAAAGAGGTTTGTCATCAATTAACATTTCACTTTTTTTGAAATGAGAAAGCCACTTGTACAGTGCTGTCCTTGTAAGTCAGCGGTTCTCAATCTATGAGTCGTGACCCCTTTTGGGGTCGAAGCCCTTTCACAGGGGTTGCCTGATTCATAACAGTAGCAAGATTACAGTTATGAAGTAGCAACAAAAATAATTTTATGGTTTGGGGGTCAACACAACATGAGGAACTGTATGAAAGGGTCGTGGCATTAGGAAGTTTGAGAACCACTGTTGTAAGCTGTGTTCAACGTCACAACAATTTTTGCAGCATCTATCTCTGAGCAGGAAAAAAAAATTCACAACCACATGCTGTTCTCTTAAATCGGTCATCATGAAAAAGGCAGTTTGAATGAAAAAATTCACTGTGACCAGAGAGATCCTTCCCTGGTGATGCCACTGGGTGCACTAACTCAGAGCGAGTTGCTCAATGCTTGCCAAACAGGAAAAATGTGTACTACAAAAGCTCAGCTCAATTCTGGTTTTTAGGGGAGTATCCACTAGTATAATCTTTTCAGACCACATTGTACTTCATGATCCTTTCTTGCTCAATGAATGCCATGCCATTCCTCTTGATTGTGTTATTCCTGGCATAGTTAATCCTACAATTTTCTGATTCAGAATGGCCAATAGCAGACCATTTCAGCTCCCTAATATCTAGGATATTGATCTTTATGTATTCCATTTCATTTTTGACCACGTGAGATTTCCTAAATTCATACTTGGCACTTTCCAAGTTCAGCTCATTAGGAGATTTCTGCAGCTTTCTCCTTACTTTGAGTCATGCCTCATCAGCAAATGAAGATCCCGAAGACTTCACTCCCACAGGCTTTACCAGACTCATGTCACTAGGGTTGCCTGCCTTCCAAGAAATCAGGTGCTCTTCAGTCATCTTTCAAGTGTCCTTACACCTGAGGGACCTGTCCTCTGGCACTATGTCCAACAATGTTTGGCTTCCTTTGTTTAGGGTTTTAGTATCTGACCATGCTTTCAAGCTATGCAAGTAGTTTTCAGTGGCTTCTTCCTCTGAAGTGGGAAGCTGAGTCCTTTTCTGTTGTCTCTTCTTAGTCTGGAAGTTCCACTGAAACCTGTTCACTTTGGGTGACCCTGATGGCATTTGAGCTTCCTGCATCACACAAGCCATCACAGTATAAAAAACTGATAGATAAGTGATGGCTACTTGAAAAGTGGGTTACATGTTGGGCTGTTAACCATAAGGTCAGCAGTTCAAAACCACAAGCTACTCTGAAAGAAAAAGTATTTTCTTAGAGCGTTACAGGCACAGAAACCCTCAAGGATGGTTCTACTCTGTCCTATAAGGATCATTATAAGTAGGAATCAACTTGGTGGTAGTAAGAAATGGGATCAAATTGACAACTGAAATTTGAAAGATTAGTGTGTTAGGCCGGGTTTACTAAAGAAACAAATCCAGTGACACTCATATATATGTAAAAAAGAGCTAGAGAGAGAGAGACTGTATATATCAGGAACACATCCCAGCCCAGGCCAACTCAAGGCCTTTAGTCTGATACTAGTTCTTAAGTCTCTCTTCAGACTCACGCAGCCACAATCAATGTGGCAGAGTGCAGGAAGATCACAGGCTTATGGGTACAAAGTCAAGTGGATCCAATGGTGGTGGTAACATTGCAGGGCTCTGGCAGCAACCAGCTCAGCCAGCAGGAAGATGAAGGCAGAGAGGGAAGGAGAGGTTCCCAGGATGCTTCTTATGAGAGAGCCATACTCACAAGGAGTTATCATCAGGCTGTGATCTAATAGACAGGCTAAACTCCACCCCTACACTTTTATATATCTTCAAGTTAACGTGAAATCATGTAACTACCACAATTAGATAAGAAAATTCCTGGACAGTGAATTTATTAATGTGGGAGAAACCATTTGGAAAGGAAGAATAAACATGATTATACAATTCAAAGAATATAATCAATGTCACTGTACTTATAGAAATTGTTGAAATTAGTGTGTGTTCTGCATGTACATTCTCAACCACAAAATTATATTTTAAAATTATGGAAAACAATCTTGTGTTAGTCTAGGTAGACTACAGAAGCAAATCCAGAGACACTCATATGTGTATAAGAACGATTCATACACAAGAGCAATTGAATATTGAGAAAACATCCCAGCCCTGTCAGATCAAGTCCATAAGTCCAAGATTAGCCCATATGTCCGATACCAATCTATAAAATCCTCTTCAGACTCACCTTGGCTGAGTCGTCAAGGTGAGTAATTGGGGCAAGTGGTGGATACAGAGCTGACAAAGTTAAAGCTGCCTCACAGCAACCCTCTAGGGCTGTCGAACTGTCCCTGTGCCTTCCCGAGACTATAACTCCTAACCTCCTAACGCATGTAGAAAGCCTTTTTCTCCTGCTGAGCAGCTGCTGGTTTTGAGCTGCTGAGTTTGCAGTTAGGCCAGCGTGGAACCCCTTACACCACCAGGTGTCCATCAGTAGAT